AGTGGCTGCTATTCTATGGGCAGGCCAGGTTGGTGCAAGGCAGCTTTGCCAGATTTGGTGTGTTTCACCCTCATTGAATTTTATATCGTATAAAGAATGGAAGGAGGAAGGACACCCGGTCAAGGGTGTCCCTCTTTTCCAATCTGAAAATCTGGTCACCTTACTGTAAATGCAGAAACAGATTATTCACAAGTCAGCAGCCTAACTAGAAGAGGGAAAGGTTTGTCACTGTAGCTCTGAATGGCACTAATAGAGAATCTTATCATAGATCTTTCCCTTTACATCTTTTTCAGATGTTTTTCAATATTTATGATATGTTGCCTGTGCAGTATTATGCTTGATTTAGTAGCATTGCTTCCAAACGCTATTGAACGGCATACAGCATTTACCTTACTAATGGGTGACAGTACCAGATGATTTGCTTTTTTATGATATTATAATATCCACTTCATATTTCTTTCTGGACATGATTCTAGGAAAAGAGATGTTGCACCAATATGGTAAGAATGTGAAAACGTTAATTATAAGGAAGTTATCATCTGTTTAAAAATAAATCATTTTCTATTTCAGGTCTTGCACAATCGGGCTCCTGGGGATGTTTTGATGAATTTAACAGAATTGAATTACCCGTCTTGTCAGTAGCAGCTCAACAAATTTACATCATTTTGACAGCAAGAAAAGAAAGGAAAAAGCAGTTCATATTTTCGGATGGAGATACAGTGGACTTAAACCCTGAGTTTGGAATTTTTCTGACAATGGTAAATTTATTGTGATGAGAGTGTAGAGGTTCTTTTTACCATAATTATTGATGCGAGAAAGTCAATCATACATTTGTTATACAATTTACTTGAAAATAAATTCACATTTCATTAATTATCTTGCCTATCCTAGCAATATATTTAAAAGCTGTGAAATTTATAGCTATTGCACATTTTATTCCTCAAATAAAACTCATTGATTACATACCATCAAGACATTGTTGACTCTTGGTGACCACATAGATAGATTTTTCTCCATGTTAGTCTGCTCCTGACCTGGTCCCTCAACTCTTCCAACAGTGTCACTATTGCCAATGCCTCAGTAATTGAATTTACTACCTGCTGCTGGTCATTCTCTTCCATTACACCTTTTCCAGTATTAGATCCTTCTCCAGAGAGCTAGAGACTAAAATACAAATATTTCATCAAATAAGGTTCATATTTAAGAATTTTCTCTGTGGACGAGTTTTTGAAATCTAATACTTTGGCTCAGGGAGGACATTGTTTATCTTATGGCAAGATGATATCTGTTCAGGGTCCATTAAATATAATTTTCATTCCACTGCCATTACTTGATTGTGTTGTGTTTAAATTTTTACAAATAACACTTGATCAATTGTTCATTCAGAGTCAGAGAGCTGTATTGCAGTCAAATTTATCTGAGATCTGACATTTTAATCTGATCTGATCAGAAAATCATTCCAATCTGCAGGGTTGTAACAAAGTTAACAATTTGTGCTGATAAATACTTCCGTGCACTTAAGTTTAGAAGTGAGAAATTTGATTTAATGGAGGGAGTTGCAAATAGCCAGCCACCATGTCTATGTGAAAATCAGGTGTTACATTTGAACTAACAATTTTAAGGCTTAGGTAAAATTATAATAAAAAAGATAGCAATGTTTACATTAAATAGATGTACAAATAAAGATTGCTCTCAGATTTCCATTTATTGCCCATCAGTAATGATGCTTGCATGTACTAAAATGTTCTCTGTACAGAGAAGACTGTTGGGAGAACCTCTGAGAATTTTTGAGATGTGGCAATAATCTTTTCAAACATATAGAATAACTGTCCCATGGTGGTTGGCATTTCTGTCTTCAGTCACATAAAAATAGAACATGTGCTTGGAAGTACAGGTTCAGACTGTTATTTTCAATAACATTTTGTGACTATAATAAAGCTTGGGACAATAGGAATCCATGCACCATGCTCTTGGATATGTATGTATATAGATAGATAGATAGATAGATAGATAGATAGATAGATAGATAGATAGATAGATAGATAGATAGATAGATAGATAGATAGATAGAT